CCGTGGGGGGGGGGGGTCGTGTTGTCAGGAGAGACGGGAATGGTAGTGATCTTCTCAACCGCTCGCAATCGAAGAACATAGCTTGCAAACCATCTACATTGTGTCGTTCGATCAGCAAGCACAGCAGTCCTTTCGAATCAATCGGTGCCAACGAAGGCGGGGGGACTAGCTAGGAGGGACACATGCTATGACTACGTACGAGAGGGTTGGCTGTGTACTGCATTGAAAGGGGTGATTTCGGCAATAGAGAGAAGGTGCTGTGTTTGGTGCCATGATAAACAAAACTGAACGTGCAGCATCGTGCACTAGTAGGCATAACTCCAGAGTACGGTACAGCCCATGGCATGACACAGCACGTATTCAGCACTTCCAGAAAGAACGACGGAGCAGCAGCACGATTGTGGTTTGTACAGCGCTGAATTTGAAAAGCTCAAGCTGCACCGCATGTGTAGACTAACATCCTGCTGGTGTCCAATACGGCTCCCAAATGCGGAAACAGACGCCAGATTCTGGGAGACACGAGGCGCAAATGAGGTACTGCGCTTGCAACTGCTGCCAGGAGCAACCGACGCGAGCGGAGCTCGAGTGAGACAGGTAAAGGCGGGAACGTAGGTATCCGCCGCAGGCTCTGCTGGTGACAACGGCCTCCAGTCAACTGCTGCGGCCAGAAGGAAACTCTAGACCAAGACGGGAACAAGACACTCTACCGCGAAAAACATGGAGCTTACCTCCCCAGCAAGTTGGACAACCCTCTCGCTGATGCACCAGATCGCCGGTAAGAGCTCCAACACACGCGACCCACTGCACTGCTCGCACACAACGCTCTGCTCTGGGACGCCGACCTGGCCGACCATCCGCGGGGGCGCGCAGATTGGTAACGAAGAATCCCACATACATCCCACAGGAAGCCCAGGTGCGGCGCCCCTTACGGTGTGTGTCATCATGTGTCACGTGCTCATGCATCGCAGACGATGGATGCTATCTTGCCCTGTTCTCTGCTCATCGCCACGTATCTTCTCCGTCCCTGGCGATTGTTTGCGACGAGTTAGCTACGACGATGGCTGTTGTGTGCGCAGGAGACGGAGATGTGTGATACATCCATATCCATCATTTTCTTTCGGTCGGCGGTTTTACAGAACCAGTTTCGAACCGGTGAACCGCCGGCTCGGCTCATCACTATTAGTGACAGACGACGTGATCACGTACGGGTGCACGGGGTGTACGCGTAAAGATGGTGTTGGTGTGCTCTGATCAAACCGTGAGAGCCCAGTTACCGCACGCCCCGACGCTGTCGGTGCTCTGCCTGCGGCGCAGTTCGCTACAGACACAGCAAGGCTGCGTGTGTGACACACGAAGAGTCACACGAGAGGGAGGGGGGGGGCGTGGGCCGTTACTCATCGTGTCACACGACTGCTCTTGTTTCGCTCTGTTCTTGAACGCAACCTGCAAAATTGATGTATGTGTCAAAAGTCTTCCTCTCTGAACAACTCGATTCTTGCTGAATTCCCACACGCACAGTAAGGGAGGCCCACTCGCACGATGCAAATCGATGCAGACTGCACGACGATCACGTTTCAAAAAAGACACAAGAATCACCCCCGCCCCTTGTGGGGCACAACTGCAATCGCACCTGGCTGAGCAAACACGTGTAATAACATTCGAATTACCTTACGGTTTTGCCGCCTCCATGGACCAGTTCGATCGGGGATCACACACACAACTTTCTTGACGTTGTGGTATTTGCCTACTAACTTGCTGTCTTCAGCTCCTACCAAACTTGCAAGTGGGTACACAGCAGCCATATAGCTGCGTCTCTTCCTCAAGCGCGACATTGGTGACTACATGTTAGTGAACAGCTCCTAGGCCAAAAACGAACGAAATCATCACGCCTTGGGTTAATACAGTACAGGAAATTGAGAGACGTTTCTCCACAGACCGGCGTAAGGTACCACGATATTCCGAGGTAGGTTCGGTCAGGCTCCCCGAACCCGACCCGAATGAATGCGTTCAACACCTTCACTACATGGCCCCCCTGAGCGATGCAAACTTGGAGTCTCGCTCTCAAACCTAACAACGACAAATCGCATGCGTCACCCCTTGGCCTGACTCAAATCAATCAGCCGTAGAGGTACCACCCCACGCCCCCTGGCGGTCAAGGTTCTGTTCGCACTTGGAAGAAATCTCGAGCTGATTTTGAAGTTTGAACGGTAATCTCCGGCACTCGAGCTTTACAACCTAGCCGTCAGAGGGTCCCCGCGGACAATACTTATTTCCACCGCTAGGCGGGGCAACATACAACCACCGCGGTGGAGTCCCAACAAAGCATGGAAAGGGATATCCATCAACAAAATACTTCATTAACCACATGATTGCGCCGACCGAGATCCTACACATCTACTATTTTGTTAGAGTCTACATAGAATTCACGTCCGTTCCCGAACACACCCGTGTACCCGCAACCCTAGATGGCAAAACGAAATACACCGACAAGAAGCTTGGCCTTTTGCATGCCAGCCAACAAGATAACCAGGTATTTACCGGGCTTGAGCAGACGTCTCGATCTCAACGAAAGGGCGACCGTATGCAGGTACATAGGAGTCACACACGACCATCAACGCTCAAGCCCTCTCGGGCCGACTGGCCTTCTGCATTCAAGCACATCATCAGTCTTGCTCTCCTCGTCTGGACCTCGACAATATATACAAAAATGGATTCGCTCTGCCGCCTTCTATCACCCCGACAACAAGCGAGCGTGATTTACTTCCGATGGTACGCAAAGCCGAGTTCCGTTGGATTTCGCTACAATGCAGACCTGACCTCTGTTTCTTCTCTCCACAACACCCTTCACTTCCATCGTTGTTGCACTGAGAAATCATCATGGGCCCATCGCCCTCTTCCGAACATCGTGCGCTGTTTGCACCGCAAGCCAATTGAGCGCGTGTTCTGGGCGAACCATTCTTCTTCCCTTTCGGCTCCTTTTAAGCCCCGCTTGTTGTTGTATAGCAGGCTCTAGTACAACGTAATCGCCAATTCGCCCCCCCCTGCCTGACCCACGCGGTCTAGCGACTACGGTATGCACGGCTATGAGCACACCCTGCCTGCACCCATGCACTCTCTCCATATCACACCTTGTTATTCATTTGTACAAAATCATGATTGATTTGAGCCCCCCCCCGCCCAGGACAATCTGCTAACTTCTTCCGATACAGCGCAGCCGGCAAACCCAGCCGTCGGATACTCCCACCCCCAACGCGATGCTCTAATGTCCCAAAACACCTGCCCGAGTGGACCATCTACGTGTCGCTTGGACCCCCCCCCAGGTCTACCGTTTACAGCAGCAAACCTTGCGCTCACCCTCGCTTGATTCTGTCAACAACTGGGGGGTCCGCGTGGACCCACATCCCAATCAATTCTTGACACTCCCACCCGCTCCCAAGAAGCGCCGGAGTGTCGAGAGAAACCTAGGAGCCAATGGGAACTGGACACAAGATACATTCGCGTTTCGCTCTCCTCTTGACACCCCCACACCCCCGGCGTACTCCGTCCCGGCTTTGCAGGGATGCGAGGTCAACGTCCTACCGACTACGGCATGCACTGCCGTTGAGTATTAGTACACCCCCTCCCAAAATGCGCCGGAGTCTCTCCACTCAACAAAACCTAGGCGCCAATGGGAACTGGATACAATATTTTCATTATATTTCGCCGTCCTTCTCCCCCCCGAGTTGTTCTCCCTACCGACACTGATGACCCGGTTGCAAAATTCACACTCCCTCCCTACAGATGCAACTACATGTCGCGCAAGGAGCCCTTACACTAACGTAAAACTCAGATTTTTTTTTAACAATTAAACCATTCCCCCACCGCACTTGCCTATTGTAAATATATCTACTACCTCCCTCATCTACCAAGCCCTGCTCCTCTCTCTAAAAATCTGGTTGGGGTCGGTCGATCCCCCCGCGGTCCGGCGGCGACTTACGTCGAGGCTGGAAGAGCTTCCGTTGTCGCCTTCATCGGACCCCCCACCCCCGGATGACTTCCGCCTGTGTGCATTGGATGTGTTTTCGCGAGAGAGAGACCAAGCAATGGTGCCGGAAGCGGTCGCCCAGGGTGGGTCGGTGGGTCGGTGGGCGGGGACCGGGCATTTTTAGGAAGAGGGTTGACGAAATTCGTTTCCGCCTACGTGTTTTCGCGAGAGAGAGACCAAGCAATGATGCCGGAGGCGGCCGCCCGGGGTGGGTGGGACAGGGCGTTTTGAGAAAGAGCTTCGACAAAGTGTCGTGTGCTGATTGGCCCAAAGCTACAGTCTCGTTGTTGTTGCGTCGTTTCACGTTTTGATAAAAACACTTCGACAAGGTTGTGTGTTGGTTTGCCCAAAGCTACAGCCTCGATATCGTTGCACCGATTCACGTTTTGAGATGAAGGTTGACAGACGTCATTCATGTGTTGGTTTGCCCAAAGCTACAGTCTCGCTGTTGTTGCGCCGCTTCACCCCTCCCGAGGCGTCCACTGACTCTCCCTCTCTCCTACTTGTGCAAACATTTGGGCCACTACCCAAGCGTCGAGGGATCACTAAATTGGCTTGATCCTCGCTAGCTAAGAAGGCCCTCTGCGGTGTTACACCGAAGGCGGCAAATGCTACCATACCCTCGTGACCGATTCTAAATCCTTGACCTGAGCGGAGCAACAGCGGCGACGGTGTCGAAAACGGTGGGGCGTTGGAGCCGTCTCATCGAGAGCATCCCAAAAATGGTCCATTGACTACTGTGGCATCCTCTTCGTCGTGGAGTATTCGACCTTTGAAAATCGGTCCAAGGGTGTGTGATATCTTCCGTCATGCAACCTACGGGCCGCTTGCCCGATGAAGAACGGGGTGAGGGGCCTCAACGAGTGCTTTTGCCAAACCCGTCGACGAGTATTCGGGCAAAACAAGGCTTCCCACTACTGTGGAGCTTCATCAACCGTGGTACGAGGGTCCCCGTGGCGTAAACCACGGAACGGGGGGGGGGGGGGTCCCCGTTAGATACACAGCCCGGCGAGACCCATCCTCTGCTCCGCCCCAACAAACACCACTAGACAAAAAATGAGAAAAATCCACCCAATTTTCTGTGCGACCACGAATTAGAGCTCCTATGTACCCGGCAGAAACGGTGTGAGCGTTGATCTAAAGTGACAAAAATCACAGAACAAAAATCCAATTGCGGAAGTCATGAAAAAAAAAACATCCTCACCAGACGGAAAGGCTGTGCGCGTTGATCTGAAGTGAAATTAAAAAAAAAAAAACTACATCACCATCCTAATACTTCCACACATCGAAAGAGAACGTCACCCATACCTTGGCCGTAGCCTCAGCTTCCGAAGCGCGCGGCTCCACCTCTTCTTGGCGCCGCCCCCCCTCGGCGACTCCGCCGCCGCCGCCGCAAGCGCCATGGCCGCGGCGGCGGCCACCGCCGCCTCCTGCCCCCCCGCTGCCCCCGAGTCTCCCGAATGTCTCCGCGCCAGGACCGGGGGGGGACGAAAGGTCCCCGAAGAACCCCCCCCGACCACGACCTCCTCGCTCATGGAACGCCGCGCACCGCCGCCGCGGGGCGGGCTGCTGGACGCCGCCCGCACGAGGCCGTCCAACAGCAGCACGCCGTGGCGGTGGTCCAGCGGCGCCCGCGAGGGAACATACCGGCCGCCTCCGGTAGAAGTGCTCCCATCACCGCTGCCAGAAAGTTCGCCCCCCGTTACTGTCTCTCTTTCGCTCGACCCCGCCGCCGCCGCCGCCGCCGGGGGGTTCGACCCTTCCGTTAAGGAAGACTCCTCCCCTCCCCGCCGTAGCTCTGCTGCGGCATCAGGTGGTGGCGCAGAGCGTGACGATAAGCGTGAAGAGCCCCCTCCCCTGGAAGGGCTAACGGCATCACCGCCGTTAGCCTGGCGAGACGTCATCGTCCGTGCTGCGGGAGCGGAAGTGTGAGATCTGAACCCAGGTGCCGGCGACTCCCGTCGCCTGCGGTGCCTCTGCTGCTCTTGCCTGTCCTCCAGCTCCGCCATTCTGCAGAGGCGTACCATCTAAACATCGAGGAGAATTATCGTCGAGTGTTTGGGTCATGGGGCAGGGTGCGCGCGCGAGCAAGGAGAGAACGGTTGGAGAGGTGCGACATTCTTGGGCGACTGGAAGGAGCGTGCGTGGTTTTGTCACGCAAACACGAGTCGACGTCCTGGCACTTACTTCCTTGCGAGATGAAAAGTTGTCGGCGGCTGGCCCGGGCAACCAACAATATAGAACTTCGAGCAGCGGAAAAGGGCTGCGTCCGCGAGAGACAAGCCCTTCGAACAACAGGAGGACTCCATTCACTGCCATGTACCAAAGCCCTTGTTATAGAACAACATAAGGACTCCGTTCTTCACTGCCATGAACCAAAGCGCCTTCGAACAACAGGAAATCACTGCCATGAAACCAAACCTACGAACGGAAGGAGCTCCGTTCTTTACTGCCACTAACCAAAGCACTTCGAACAACAAGAGGACTCGATTCATTGCCATGAAACAAAGCCCTTCGAACGACAGGAGGGCTCCGTTCTTCACTGCCATGTCTCGCCGGAGACAGACCGGCAAGATGATGGACTCACCTCCGTAGCAGCGGCGTCGGCGAGACCCCTGAGAACTACCGTGTGGTGCGCGGTCCACCCGAGGTCCTTCAGAGTGCGCCGCGAGAACACGCAGAACGTTCCCAAGGGGGCCCCGTCCACGTAGATAGGGGCGCCTGGCACACGAAAAAAAAATTGTGAAAAATAAAAAGAAACATAAAGAAAAGGAGAAAATAAAAATGCCAACCGATGACAAGGGGTAAGGGCGATCCGCAAGTAAACGTCAAGCATATCGGGGCGAGCTTGTGGAAAGTGGAGGAGGTGCTCGTCCAGCAGTGCTCGGTTTGGAACGTGACACTACTGGTCCACACCCTCCGGACCGATGTTCAAATTTCGGTTTCTCCACCACGAAGAGGAGGATGGAAAAACCAAACCAAAGCACAAGTTTTTCGAAACGCCTCTCCACGAGATGCTGCCAACGCCACCGCTGTTGGGCGCCACCCGTTGCACTTCTGGTGCGGAGTAATCGGGCGTTGAAGATCGGTCCAGGAGCTGTGGTCGTACAGCACTATCCTATGCAACCTACGGTAACAACCCGGCTCCTTCGCTGCCCTCAGTCCGTACTCGGAACATTTTCCGCCGCCAACACGGGGATCAATTCACGTCTATGTCTGAGTGCATGCAGAGCAGCAGCAGCTGCAGCAGCAGCACAGCCGCTCCCCCTTGTGATCTACCTCCAAGACGGGTAGACGGGTAGACGGGTAGTTTCCTCACGAGGTAACGGGAGGTTCCAGCATTTTGCGAGAAGTGCGGTGAAAATCATGCAATGTGTTGCCAGGGTGCTGGTTCCAAGCAAAGGAGACATTTTACGCAAAGTCACAGCCAAAATATCCCAACGCGTGGGTAGGTAGGTCCCAAGATTCGCTCTATTTCATGGTCGGCAGCGCCGCAAGCAACAAGTCCGGCCAGCCGCACGAGCACCACGTGTCTTCTTTGTACGTACCGACGTAGGCCACGTAGTCCGGTCGGACGCTACCCGCAGGGTCCATGCACGTGCTGCGGACGATCTCTTGCCTGAGCTTGCGGCAATCCGGTACGAGCAAGACTCCGTCTTCGTAACGAACGCCGGCGTCGAGGCTTTTCCGTCCCAGCCGCGGGGCGCAGACGGCGTGCTGAGCGCGTGGCGTGTTGTCAAAAGGCGGAAATGCGTTACAACCAAAATCGCTTGTTTGTACGGTAGGTGGTTTTGTGGTATCGGTGTGGCCATGCAAGGCATACTGCCAAGCATACTGCGTGGCACCTCGGTGCCTCATCGCGCTGCCGATAGACTATATCTTGTGGTGTTTCTCGTCCGAAAGCATGCGGGGTGGCGGGAGACTGAGGGGATGGGACACGAGATGCGGCAAGAATCTCGCGACCAGCCACGTACGCAGCAACACCATCCTCTTGTGTGCGCAAGGCACGTTCTGCCAAAGTATTGAATGCGTGAATGCATCACACAGCTACATATCTAGGAACGCCGCCATCTTCCGCCCGCAAGACAGAAAATCCGCAAAAAACGTCCGAAGGCACTGAATGATACGCATAGCAACACCCATCATCAGCTGTGTGCAAGAAAAACAACCAGCCAAAACAACATCGAACGCACAGAATGAAAGCACACACTCAGCCCTGTAGCTGTACATACCTGGCACATGCTCGCCCTCCGAGGGATCGTCGAGAGGCTCGTGTCCCCCACAGACGCGGCGCTGCACGACACACGAACGCCAAAACAAAGCAGCCAAGCAGCCAAGCAGCGTCGCACAACAAAGAGAGACGGGCGCCCCATCGAAGCGGAAGGGGGCACGAGAAAAAAAAATCCGGCGAAAGGCCAACGGTTGTCAAGGACCAATGCGCCTGTATCAAAACACCTTCAGGCAGTCATTCCCGAACCATGTTGTACCCTCGTCTTTGGGGACGGAGGGGGGGCGAGTCTCGTCTCTTAAAACGGACGGACCAAGCGATTCATACGGTGGGTGGGCGTGTAAATGCATCGGTAGACCATAGACCTCGCATCCCTACAATGCCGGGACGGAGCGATAATTCGGGGTTTTGCCGACCTTGGGGGGGGGGGGGGGGGTACTCATAGTCGTGCATGCCGTAGTCGTTAGACCATTGACCTCGCATCCCTACAAAGCCGGGGCGGAGCACGCCGGGTTCGCACCGGACCAGGCTCTCACATCACCAAGCGCGAAGCGCCTTGGGTGGGGGGGGGGCGTACTCTTATGTTTCGCATGCCTTAGCGGATAGGCCACTGTCGTCCTCGAGAGGACCGGAGCATTATTCTCACAGGACCATTATTACCGATGGCCAAACATATATTTCCTTCCCGCGTTGCCAAAGGTTCATGGTTCATGGTGATGCTCTCACCGGTTTAGCGCGCACCCTCCCTTGAGGGTAAGAACCGCGGTCTCCCCCACGGCGTTGACCGCCGCACCTCCTTCCCTGGCCCCGGGTACGAGCCTTTTGGCAGCCTGCAAGGAAAAAAATAAAATAAAAATGCGTGTGAGGCGTGCGTACGCATACGAACACCAAACATGGGGGAGGGGGGTCTCACCAGCGCAGCAAATGCGCCAATTTCACCGGCATGGAAGCGGGTTACTCCATCACACTACTCACGCCCATACCCGCCCCCGCCCCCCAAAAAAAAACGCTTATCGGTTTGTGCGCCGTAAGGTTGGCGCAATGTGTGGGTGCGTCTACAGAGGCGCTCGCCGAAACAACAAGCTCAATCCACCCACGACAATTACCTGAACATACCAAACCTCCCACAAACGCCAAAGCCGAAGAGACGTAGGTCAGTATTCTCGGCGTTTCAGCGATCCCCTCTTTTGAAACCTCAAACGCACATGGTAAACCTATATAGTTCAACAGCACCCTTGTCTGTGGAAAAGATAAACAGCACTCTTTTGGTTGGTTGATAGAGACTACAATTGGTTTGTTTTATTATGAAAAAGAGGCATTAACTTTTTCTTTTTTTTTAATGAAAACAGAGAATAAGGCATGTTTGTGCTGTGTCCCTAGACGCTCCCTCAGCGGTTCAACGCGGATATAGCACGCGCTTACCTCCAGAAGAGCGCCCAGACCGGCGTACAGCTGCTCTTCCAGGCTCGTCGGGTGGTAGCGGTATCGAGCACAATCCTCCTCTGCGCTGCTGCTGCTACGACATCGGTTCGAGACCCCTCTGCGCGGTGCTACGGCGGGCGCGGCAGCAGGGCGGCGGCTTGCGCCAGAAACGCCCCCGCTGCCGCCGCCGCCGCCGCCGCCACCGCCGCCGTTACCGGCGACGAAAGTTGTGTATGTTCCGTTTCGTCCGGCGGTGATGGAGAACAGGAACGTCTTTGCGCTTCGGACCCGGCGGCGTTCGCTGGCCGGGGTCGGGTTCGGCGACGCGAATGGTACCCATCGCCTCGATCTGCACCCCCCCCCCCCCATACAAAACAACAACGACGACAATGAAAGGTGATCAACACAGGGGCAGGCCGAGCACGACGAATTGGTTAATTGATTATCATGGCCGGCAGCGTACGAAAAACGATAATAGTGAGTTGTGCTGTTGCCTAGAACTATCGACCAGGGGCGGGTTGGCCACAGACAACGGCGGCTGCTGTGTTTTTCTACGTTGGCAAACGTCAACGGTGTTGACCGCAGGCACCGGGGACAACACACACAAAGCTCCCCGGACGCCGCACAGTGTGCTATCTTCTCACCCTCGCCTCCACCCGCTTGGCCAGCTTCTGGTAAACGCCGTTCGCGTCTTGTGGTGAGGGCCAAGGCAGAGCTGCTGCCTGGCCGGACGTGGAGTCCACCTGGGTGTTATCATTTTGCACGCAAACACGCCCAGTTGGTTGGTACTCGAATCGTCTTTCTTGCCTTACAAAAACACAGAGGACTAGTCTCCATGTCTCCATCCACGGACAAAAGAGTCCGGGATAAAATTTGCAATTTAGTTCATCAGCATCGAGAGCTTTCCGAAAACGTACCTTTTGAGCCTTGCACCATTTTCGTTCGTGGAGCATTTTTTATTTCTTAGTGCGAAAATCGATCTGGGGGTGTGTGATATCTCATGTCAACTACGGGATACCCCAACTCAATCCCGCCTCCCCACCCACCGCCAGGGACTTCGTCGTCCCGAAAAAGCCTCCGCACGAGGTCGACACGTACG